GTTTTTTTCTGGTCTCTCTCTCTCTCTCTCCCTCCCTCCCTCCCTCTCTCTCTCTCTCTCAATATCTGTAATATCCTAACATCATACGAGGTGGCTTCTAGCACAGAAAAACAGAAAGCGCAAATAAGAGCTTTATGACTCTTCGATAAACAATTCTCTCTGGGCCACTTCAGATCTTAGATGTGAAAGATGATTTCAGGATTGATTTGAGAACTGTGTCAGTAAGAGTGTATGTGTGTGTTTGTGTTTATAAAATATTCAGGAGAAGCATATAGGGAGTATTAGATGAATGACTGGATTTACTTTCTATAGCCTCAGAGAGAAGAACGAGAAATACTCGGGGTGGGATTCTACAGGTTTGCACCTATTTGCTAGAACCGGTTGTTAACATTCTAAGCAGTTCAGAGAACCGGTTGTTAGAAGAAATTACTGGCCTAATCCTGTAAGGAAGGCAGGAAGGAAACATTCTGGTATTGCTTACAGAAACTGCCTCTCCATTAACCCTTATTACATTCTTGGCAGGACTAGACTTCCTGTCTCAGGAACTTCTCTGGAGATTTTTTCCCCTCCTTTGCTGGTACTTTGCTTATGTGGAGTGACCATTCAAAGTTATAATGGCACTGAAAAAAGTGACTTATGACCATTTTTCACACTTACGACTGTTGCAGCATCCCCACAGTCATGAGAGGCCAGGCGAGGAGATGCATACCTCAATGTGAGTGATGTTGAGTTGGCCATGCCCAACCAGTCACATGACCACCAAGCCATGCCCACCAACTAAGCCACACCCACAGAACCAGTTGTTAAAAAATTTGAATCTCACCCCTGGAAATACTGGCTTAAAATGTTGAGATTCAGTTCCCAGAAAGATCTGTTCCAAGATCTTTCTACATGTATCACTATCAAGCTAGGCATTTCCTATCCTTATGTGATTTTTATTTTCTAAGTAAAACACTTGAACTGTTTAAAATTGTATTGTACAATTTATTCCCTAGCTAATGAATATTTTTAATTGTTATTTCTGTCTGTTTGAATATGACCTCTAAAACTGAATTTTGTGTCATCTTCATTCTACATGAGCATTCACTCACTTCCTTTTTCATCAAATTCTGTAGGGCTGTATTGGCTTTTTTGGAATTCTAGAACACTCCTGGATTATACTTAAGTAATCCACTAGGTGTCCTAGATCCCCCTCAGTTATTATTGTTGAACCAACCATTTGTTTGTCCTGCCTGGCACAGGACTTTACTTATTGCCATTTTTCACCACTGAACTTCATCTTGTTGGATGGGGTCCAATGCTTAAGTCTGTCCAGATCTTTCTGAATCTTGACTCTATCTTATAAAAAGTTGGCAACTTAATATCATCTGCAAATTTGATGAGCTCCCTGTCTATCTCTTCATCTAAATCATTTATGAAGATGTGAAGAGTAGTGGAACTAAGACAGAACTTCCCTCCATGTAGTTGTTATTCTGCTGAGGACTACACACTGAATGTGGTTGGTCAGCCAATTGCAAATACATCTGGTGACAATGCTGTCTGTCTCACATTTTGTATCTTACCAAGAAGCAGAGAGAGAAAATGCTTTCCATAAACAATACCACTAAACACAAACAATGGTACCAGCCAGATTGGAAAAATGATAACTTTTGTAAAATTGCAACAACAAAAAAAGTTAAGGAAATGTCACAAATGTGTATTTTAATAGGCATGGAATGTTGACTGTTAGCAGGCTGTTAAAGGGAGAAAGTTAAAAATAATAAGTATATTAGAATTCTTTAAAAAATATTCTGTACTATGTGACTATTTCCAGTATGATAGAATGTTTTGAGAATAGATTCTCTATGTAGGTGTAGCTATAGTATCCCAGTTGACTGGTGCATATTTGTTGAATTTATATTCAATAAATTTGTATTTAGGTATTATCTTCCTCTTTCCCAGGAGTTCAAGAACTATTGCAATTTTTCTACATAATAGCAATCCAATTCAGTTGGCTGGGAGATTGTCATTGGCCAAAAGTCACCCAGTGAACTCATGAAGCAGAAAATTCTTAAACAAAGATCTTCCCAGTACATATTTTGTTGTGCATTAGAATCAGTGCTGTTTCATTCCCAACAGCAATATAAAGAAGAAACAGAATCCATTTCAGATATGCTTAAGTACATTAAAAAAAACACAAGATTTCTGTTTTACTAGCATTGGGCACTGCAATATGTGGTTCAAAAGTTATTTTGCAAGTTAATGATAAGATACTCTATGTACAACATATTATATTCACCTATATACGGCACATTAACTAATCCAAAAGGACAAAAGATAGATTTTTCCTTCCAATGCAAGATACATTATAGCTTTTTTTTTTTTTGCTATCGTTTTTTCCCCATGCTACTGCCTTGATGGAGGCTTGCTTACTAAGCTTGTCAATTGAGATAAAAACTGATGAACCCTGGAAAATTGTACAGCAGATTCATTAGTGATCACTGCAGTTGATGGCTCTTTGCAGCAAATTGCACAGATGAAATAATATACATCAGCTGTCATCTTTCTACCTAATACAAACTCCATGAATTTACAGCAAAAATCCACCAGGATGGTCTGCTCAATTTATCCAACCTTTCATATCATGACTAGCGATAAAATGCACTTTAGTCTCACTTTATGTAGATTCCTCCTAAAGCACAGCTGCTAAAATAATATTCATAGAGCCTAGTAATATACAATTGCTTTCCAGAGCTTTCAAAAATATATGCATGGCTGAACAGCTTCAAGTGCTGTTTAGTGCTGTTTAGGGCTTATACATGTGGCAATTTGTCTACCCCTTCTTGAAGGAAAAATAAATGTATAGAGAAACTCACCTACACATTTTGCATTGTATTTCTGTATGGCTAATATGAGGCCATTGTTTATGATTTTTCCTGCCATTGCTATTCCACTTTTTTTGAGTGCCCATCTGTTACAGAAACTGATGATTAAATATTAACTATTCCACCTTCATTATTCAAACACCGGTACTTTGTATGTTTGAGCAAAAAAACAACAACAAAGGAGGATATACCTGAACTATTCTCACAATCATATATTACTAGCCATGCATGTTGAGGTTTATGAGAAGGCTGAAATACAGGCTGTTTATTTCTACAGCTAAGGTATTTGCCTTTAGAGAGAAAAAACACTGGTAACAAGGGAAGTAACCAGTGAGTAAAAGAGTACAGGCAAACCTTGTTATTTACAATCAACCTGTACATGGGGAAGATTCAGTTTTGAATCAGTTTAGCTAATAAGTAATTTGTACTTTCTTTCATTAGGATCCTTAAAACTCTTTCTGGCCTCTGAAAATTTCTTTCACCCTGAGTTGGGGAATATGTTGTAGCTGTACTACAAATTCTAAAATTCAACAGAATCCAAGACACCACTCTTTAAAAAAAAACCTCACAGACAGCATAATTCTGGCTCTATCCACAAGCATGCTAAATGTGCTAGCCACTTTGCTTCATTGCCTCATTCATTGATTTCCCTCTCCAAATAGTATGATGTGCAACACCCAGCTATCAAAAAATTTGAGCATCTCTGATGCACAAATATGTTCAATTCATTCTTTACTGAGCAAGAACTAATGATCCTGAAATTAGCTATACATATAAAATATGCTATTTTATTTTCCTTAGAGAATCTTACAATTGAACCAGAAACAAATTATTTCTTACAACTCTTAAAAGGGCTGGGAAAAGACACTATGGACACAGGACACTGTATAAGGGTGAATGAAATATTGGCACTGGTAGGAGTGACATAATAAGGAAAGCAACTCTGAAGTGATAAAGAAAAATGAACAGCAAAGGAAGGAAGGGGATTTGAAGAAATGGAGCAAGGCGAGAATTATTTTGTGCAAATTAAATTTAAATTAAATAGGATGACACTCTGATCTTGTCAGGCTGAAGCATTGTTTTCTCTGAGAGGGTGGTAATAAGAAAGATATACATATACCAAGGTCTAAGCCTGTTTATTCCTTTTGGCTAGTAATAATAAAGCTGCTACTGCTGCCCATTTATCAGCAGGACAACTAAACATGAAAGTGACAGACAGAAAACACACCAGATTTATTATGGTAGCAACTGTACTAAGATGTGGGTTGTATAAGAAAAACTATAAAAGGATGAAGACCTTTGAGGGGTGCCTCTTAACCCAATCCTTTGAAGCAGGTTGTGGGGCAGAATATTTTTTGCTTTGTCTGCTGTTCCTTGCTGCTGTACATGTTGCTGAACACCAAGCATAGAGTAGATGTCTTCAAAGGTAGCAATCACTCTAGCTTAAGGAAAGTAAATAATCTGAGACAGTACTTACACAAAAGGTTCTCTGAAAGGTAGGACCTTTGTCCCTTTTTTATCTCACACAGTAGAAATCCTTGTAAAGCTTCATTTAGACTAACAGCTATCATGCGCCCTAGGATGGCCAAACCTGCCAAGGTGGATTTTGCTCATTTCTTTTCTTTTTCCAGCTTAAAGGGTTATTTTCCTTTTGGCTGTCATTTAAAGAAAAGAGGTTTATGTGTGGTTTTACAATATATTACTATTTTAGGACTTCTTTCTGAATCTTTTGGTATTAATTTGCCCCTAAGTAACAAATTAGGAGATTAATCCCAAAATTTCAAATTGTCTATCAATTATGAAAGAGTGCCTTGTGCCTTTTATACTTGGAGTGGAATGTTTAAAGAAAAATAAAATAGAAATCTATTATTTCATTTTAAAAAACTATCTAACATATATCTTTTTTTCAGAATAGCGGAATACAAATTTCAATCAAGTCTGAAACAGGAGCTGCAAACAGAGAAATAAAAATTGACTATTTTACAGAAAGCTTAGCAATGATAGCTTTTAAAGAGAATCTTCTGCTTTGAAAGGAATTCCTGAAATCCAATATTTTATTTTATTTTCCAGACCATTACTTTTATAAAATACACGTATTTAATAAAATACACAAGCATTGTTTGTTAGTTTGTTTACCTGCTTGCTTCCTAGTTTGCCATAATACTGCCCTTCACAAAAGCAGAAATCCAAAGAAACAGATAAATCAAAATTGGAGTTTCAGTGTGGTTCCAGGTGGGTTCAAGCTTCACTGTTCCATCTGGAAGATATGAAAATCTTTAATTATGCCCCACATAGAACTTGGCATCAAAGATTTGTGAAAGTACAGATAGCACATACCTGAATTCTAATTCTGAGCTAATTTATTTTCAGCTCATCTGCAGTGTAACCAAAGCCAATGGGAAAAAAAGACTTTTTTTTCATTAGCAAGTTTAAAGCCTTGGGCAATCTGGTTTATCATTGAGAAACTTTCTTCTGTTTTCTTCCTAGGTTTCAACTGACACTGAATTCAACTGTCACATTTAGAAAGTGGAAAAATACGTGAGGGCCTGGTAGTTTATAGAACTATTTGCACTACTGCAATGTGTTCTACATGGGGCTACCCTTGAAAAGTATTTGGAAAACATAGTTGGTGCAGAATTTGGTGGAGTTTTAACACTTCTAGGATGGCACATATAACACCTCTGTTACACAAACTGCATTGACTCCTATTTTAATTCAAGATACAACACCAAATCCATAAAGAAGAAGAAAAATCCACAAAGAAGAAAAATAAGCATCTGCATTCAATTTCTTGGTAATACACACTGTATGTAATTGGCCTAGCAAATACATACAACTATTTGATGCATATGCTTATTTTTTTCCCCTTTTTTCACAGATTTGAGGATTATAGCCTTAGGATTTGCAATAGATTGGGATGGTGCACTAGGGGAAATATTATTTTGCCCTGGCCTTCTGTTCAGTCAGTGGGATAGTGTTGCTCGAAGGTGATTTGCACAGGCTAAGGAAGGCTTCTGACAGCAACACGTCATAGCATTCTTGGGGGGGATCCCACCTATCGCTCATTTCAAAAATCTATTAGAGGAAGCAGTTTCTGAAAGAGATATTTGTGCTGTCATAAAACAGATGGTGAAGGAGGTGTATCACTATGTTCTGGGAAGGAAAGGTTAATTGCTTAATATTATATTGTTTGCTTAGAAGAACATACTTCATTAGAAATCTCCACATTAAACTAGTCACATATATGTGCAACATAAATCTGTGTATTAATGCTTCCATGACAAAAAGAAAAAGAAAAACATGGAATGTTAGCCTGAAACATGAAGCAACATCACCTATTGTTTGGAGGCATTATTAATATAATAATTACAATAGTTCGACAATATTCTTTCAATATTCTTTACAATATTCTTTCCCCCTGTGGGAAAGAATAAGCATGATATACAATGTTACTCAGGTCACAGCTGGAGGAGATAACATACCTAAGAAAAACATCTCAAGGAATTAGAGTTTGAGTTACTCACATATCACCATCAAGTAATTAATGGTGTGTTGTACTATTATAAACTTGGTGACTGTGGCGGTTTTTCAACAATGTATTTTAAGATTGTAGCAAAGTTTCTTGAAATATTATTAGATTATTTCTAAAAGGCTGATTTATTGCATATTGCTGCCAAAACATTATTTATCTGATCTGTTATGAAATGCCTTGAGCACTGTTTCCCTTGTAGAAGGACAGCACATGAACATTAATTTAATATACTGTATGCCTACCATTTTGAAGTCATTGAAGGAGAAGTGGGATAAAAATATAACACATAAAATAATTTATAATAATGTGTTTGAGAATTTTCATTGCTACCACATCAAACTTTTATGCTTCCCCCCAAAAGCTGCATTTTAGAAGTGTTGCATTACTTATTGCACAATTTCCCAGCTAACAGAGTCAACGGCTGTTGTTATTTACATTGAACCCATTGGTCTATGTGAACACTTGACTGAAAAGAATGTGTTAAGCTAGTTCTGTATAAATTTTAAATATTTTAATATACTGCATGTATAGGCAATCTTAGTTAGTCTCCATTTGCTTATAGAAGACAGTCCAGAATAAATAAAAATGATGTAGTACATTTCCTAATTATTTTTTCAGGTGTGTTAATGTTAATACTATGATGTGAAGTCAAAGCTGTCTTATTAGTTATGTTGGTTATTATGATACATGATTTATTTTCATATATATACACATATCAATGGCATTGCCATCAGCAAATAATCTTTAATATGACCATAAACATTCAAATAACTTATGGCATATGTGGTTTAGTAATGTTGGTAATACAAATTATATATAACATAATATACACACACATACATATGGGAATTCAGAGCAGATTTGGAAAACGCATTGGAAGGTTATAAAAGAAAAGAGTGAAAAGTTACACATTGTCTTGAAATCATATTAGCATTTGCCTTCTTGGGATTAATCAGGAAAGGACCTACAAAAGAATGAAACTTGCCATGTCCACCCAAGACCAGCCCACCAACTCTCTGACATATTGATTCTAATATTGGTTTTTTGGTGCTGTAACTGATAATAGAATGTTTTCATTAGGACTATTTCTTTAATTTACCATCATACTGGTAACATAAAAGTCACATACTATGTAATTTTCTTCAATTTCAAACTGAGTTCCTGATGACTATATTATTATACCAAACTCAACTCCTGATGAGTCAATTTTATTGACAACCTCGGGGAAATTATCAAGGACATTATTTTAATTTCACAATCTAATTTACAAACCTGGGCTTTTATGGTAGTATACTGAAAATGCAATATAAATCTAATCCCTCTTATTTTTTTCCCCTTTCCCCTTGCCAAAAGAATCTTAATTCACTGCTTTTTTATTTTATATTCCAAAAATTGAGGACCAATTATTATTTACAAGTTTCTTCTTACCAAATCTGATATTAATATCAGTCCTATGCTCTTGTCCTTTTTTTAAATTGGAATATTCATACTTTCTGATAAAGAATTCTTGAAAATTCCAAAGTTCGTACACGGTTTTACAGGTAGTCTTCAACTTATGAGCACAATTGAGCCCAAAATTTTCATTGTTCAAGAAGGTTAAGTGAGTTTTGCCCCATTTTATGATCTTTTTGCCACAGTTGTTAAATGAATCACTGCAATTGTTAAGTGAATCGTTAAGAGAATCTGGCTTCCCTCATTTGGTCATCAAAAGCCATCTGGGAGCCATCTGGAAGGAGCTTTTGGCAGCATGACTGCCTTTATGAGATAACCCAGGAGCAACACACAGCAAACAGAGACTTAGACATTAACAGTGGTTTAATATACAACAGGTATGTACGGACAATACACATGGTGGCAAAATACCTTTACAAGCAAGATTTTCTTCTTCCTAACACATTGAGAACTTCTGCACTGAATACTGGTCACGAGGAAAGAGAACCACGTCCTCTAATGGGTGCCTTTATGTACACACCTCTTAAGGGGAACTTTACTCTCCAGCCTTAAAGGGAAATATTCATACTCTGCTGAATCACTCTTGTTACATCAACCAGACTTACATCAGCTTCACAGTATCGTGCAGCTACTCGCTGCTGGTCAGTTTCTAAATCTTAATACCTGAACAGTTATGAATAGTGATCAATGACCATTATGATTGTACAACTGTCATAAATACATTCTACTTGCAAAACACTAGAATTTTGTTCACATGACCATCGGGATGCTGCAATGCTGTCGTAAGTGTGGAAACTGATCATAAGTCACTTTTTCAGTACTCTTGTATCTTTCAACAATCACTAAACAAATGGTTGTAAGTTGTGGTCTACCTATATAACATTTCTGTTATCCTCCTAAAGGTATCATTGATTTAGCATTGAGATTTACAAACTAAGACTTTTCTGTTGTTAAAAAAAAAAGCCTCCAAATCTTTGCAAGGATGTATACACAAAATTTTCAGAGACTTTCAAAAGTCAATGTTTATAAATAAGGAAATATGGTACCACTTTGCATACGTGAATTAAAATAAGCAGTGGTCACACTACTCACAATAGTAAGTTCCTATTACAACAGAGCTGTTGAACCAAAAATGATGCAATTTCAAGACTAGCATTTTTGCCCTTTTAATGCTGTTCAGTTTGTATTTAAATTGTCTAAGTATCTTGGAAAGATTGTTAATTTTTGACCAAAGTATAGAATGTGCAACAGTGACATCTAGTGATTTTTTTTAAAGGAAAAATATGCTTGTTTTTGAACGGGATATCGTTGGGAATAGATTGTTACTCACAAACACAAAGTGGCCTGCAGCCATCACGATCAGCGGCCATTGGTGGTTTTTACCTCTACAAATTCATCTTAATCCTTTTATCTCCCACTTTTTGCGGCAGCTCATTTCATTTGCTCCTGTGAAATACCTCCTGAGCCTAACTTGAATCTCCTACTGCAGTTTTTCCATTGATTAAAGAGTTATTTGAAATAAGTGGTCACCCTGCAATACATTATCAGATACTTAAAGTATATCAAATACTATCCAAGATGCATAATGCCCTGTATGAACATGGAAATTGGACATATAAAACAAGCACAATAAAACAAAATGATAGTATCAGTACTGCTATTTCAATAAAACTGGCACTTCTAGACTGTTTCTAAAATGTCTAGAAAAACAAAATAGCCTCATCTGACACCTAAAGGATTTCCATGTAGACTCTAGGAGACTTTCTTGATAGAAGGCATTCCAATGCTAAAAAGGTCCTTTTCTGTAACTATAGCCCACTTATGTTGTCTTATTTAGGAGCAAGGACTCCTAAATAAAAGCAATTAACAGCGTAGGGCCAGGGTTGGAAAACATGCTCTTTTTGATAAACTGGTCAAATCATTCAGTGGTTAATACCAGCACTTTCTATGCTAATGAAATCATATAAACTCCAACTAAAGCTGAATTCCACTCTCTATTTCTAGCTCACAATCCAATTTCCATGTTTTATAAGCTGACACAATTGCTATCATTTCTGTATCCTAAATGAGGCTAAAACTTCAATCCTCAAATCTTACACACCATGCATGAAAAGCTTGTAACAAAATGATCAGATATACCAGCTATACGAGCCTCCAGCAATCACACTTTTCAAAGCTGAAGTACTTTTGCTATATGGCATACATATTGTCTGCCTAAAGATATCTTTGCACTAGAAACAATTCAGTCTAAATATCCCATTTTTGCTCCTTGCTCTGTCACAAATGTATTCTTGGATATGCCATAGCCTATTTAAATCTATGGAGTCTCTAGGCCAACCTGAATTGATAGGTCAATATCAATTCAAGATGGAGTGAGGTCAAGTAGAGAACTTTTGACCTTGACAAATGGGTTGATAGATTCAAATCTTTCTTTAAAAAATGAATGGGAGATAAAATATGAGAAGACAAATATAGAGCATTGCTGGTACCGAAGGACAGACTTGATGGATCACCTGTTAAGGCTGCTATTAAGGTCTACCTTGTGGTAGTATGAGTGGTAAAACACCAACAATCTCCTTTCTTATTGCATCCACATTTTGCTGCCCTGCAGTCCTGTTTCAGTGCTCTCTTGGATAAAGTGGGCATGGAGACCCTCTTACCAGGGAGTTCGGGGGAATTTGTGCAGTCTCAGTTGGATAAAGTAGTTCTGATTTGTCCCCAGATGGACATTGGCCTTGTTGTAAATTTAGAGGAGATGCCTGGTAGGATATCTTACCCAGTTATCCGGAAATGGTTTGAACCTGATGGACCTGAGAACATAAGAAACCTACTATTTAGTCCCATTCCCTTCTGGCTTTCAAAGATGTTGTGTGAATGGGTTCTGGCAGTGGCTTATTCTTTTCTGAGTGAGGAGGTTGTTCCATTACCTGTTAATGAGGTCTTGGTTTACCCCAGCTAAAAAAACACATCACCGAATTCCTCAAACTGGACATTTTTCATCCAGTATGTCACACCTTTCCTTAAGGAAGATGATGAATATGGATATGCAACAGCTTCAGAGTATCTTGGAGGAAGCAGAACTCATAACTTAAGATTAGAGGAACTGGAATATATTGATTTCTAAGTTTAGCGTACATTGAGAAGCAACAGTCGCTCATCTAGATTTATTTATTAAATTTGTTATTCCATTCATTACTGATGGATTAGATTGAAAACCATTTGAACTGGTAGAGGGTTTCCTGCTTTAGCAGCAGGTTAGACTAGAAGACCTTCACTGTCCCTTCAAACTCTATTATTCTATTATTATTGATTACTGGGAGTTTACTCTTACTTCATAGTACATAAATGCTTCTATCTACATTAAAATATTTTAAAATTATTTATATATGATAAAGAGAGATATCCCACTTTCCTCTTCTTATTTTATATCTGTTATATATATTAAAGCTTTTATCCCCCTCAGTTTCTTTTTCTTTCCATATATTCATTTGTGAATGGTCAATGATTAGGTATAATTGCTAACTGATTGTGGGGGAAATGTTACAGATTAGCAAATTGAAACTTCTCTTTGGAGAGTAGATTTATTTGCCATAGTGGTGGATTAAAAAAAAATCAAGAAAACTAAGGTGCCCTTGTGCCGCTGTCAGATTTTCTTTCATTTTCAGCCAAATGAGATGCAGTTCTGCTTGGAGAAGCAGACAACCCTACAGCATGATGGTGATGGGGAAAAAAAAAAATCACCTATGAATGTGGCTCATTACAAAATACTACTAAAGAGAACAGTTGCATTATTCAGCTCAATGCCAACTTCCTAGGCAATGACTTGCTTTACCATTTTTGTCCAAGGGAAGCACAAAAAGCAGCAAGCAGGAAGACATATCCAAGATGATTTTTATTAATGGATTATTAAAACAAGAGAAACTACAGAGCACATCTACCTCTGCAAGCAATAAACCAGGAGGAGCGTCTTCCGAATCCTACATATTTGGAGGTTAGATGAAATAGTCAAGAGAAGCATATCCTCCTACATATAATTAAAGCTTTAATGTGCTGGGACCCAATGATAAATTCATTGCTCTTTTAAACAAGAGTTATTTTTCACTGACATGCTAATTAAACAAATGACTGCCGGTTTCCACAAACTGCCAACACATGCCAGTTAGTAACCTCCTCTAATGTCATGAAAATGGCCATTTTGGTCAAGAATGATAGAAGTCATTAAGGAAGGCTCTTTGCTGGGAAGACTCCCCTAAAAGTTGTTCACAAAGCATTCTGAAACTGTATGCATACCATATTCACTTGCTAGAAAAGAGTAGTCTCTCTGCTGCTTGTTCTACTTCAGGGGCAAGGGGATGGAGAAGAGACAGGAGTGGCATGAAGTTCATACTTGTAGACAGGTTCAGTGTTGTTTTCATTGTGCTATACTCATCCTGGATAGATGTGGTGACATTTGAGTACCAAATTCTATCTGCTGTTGAGATGTCTAGTTTTGTTTCAGTTACTGTAGATAATAGATTTCCCATGGCCTGTTGATACTAATTGTTGTGTCTATAGAACTGGCTGGAGTTCCCAACCAGGTCCGCAGTTCGAGCAGGAGCGCCGACCGCTCCCATTGGCTGATGCCGTTTGACAGCCGGCTATAAAAGGAGCTGTCAAATGGCATCAGCTGTTGCCGCCAGCTGATCTGCCAAGTTAGCCTGGCAGACGCGGCAACCCTTTATTCACCTGAATAAAGCCTCTTTTAAACAAACGCTCTGGCTCAGCCTCGTATCTCCGCTGCTCCACAACACTGGCGACAAGGGCGGGATACAATAAGAGGCTACCAGACGTCCTATTGCAGAGCTGGTCACTAAAAAGGCGAAGCCACCAGCGCTGAAGCCACAGCCACCGATGCTCACCAAGAGCGCGAAATTTAAAGCCTCCTCAGCCGAGGAGACAGACGCCGCCTGACAGGCGCAGCCGCATAACACTCTTCTAAGAGTGCGATTTTCGAAGCCGCAGCAGCTGAGGTGACAGGCACTGCCGCCTCAAGATGAACACCAACCCGACATTCCCACCCTTCAAGCCAGCCGAAGAAATGTGGGAGTCATACAAAAACCGGTTTATCTACTTCCTGGATGCTATCGACCTCACAGACGCTGCAGAGCATAGGAAAAAATCTTTCTTCCTCAGTTACTGTGGGGCTGCGGTTTTTGACACCGCTACAGCACTAGCTGCCCCTCGCTCTGTAAGAACCATCCCTTGGGAAGAGCTCCAAGAGATTCTTTCCAATCACTACTCACCTAAACCCTCCCAGATAGCTAGGAGGCATGCCTTCAGAAGCAAAAGGCAGGCTGAGGGGGAGTCAATTAGTCAGTACATGGCAGCCCTGAGATCAGCTGCCTTACAGTGTGGGTTCAGAGACTACCTAGAAGACATGCTCTTGGATCAGATTGTCTGTGGGG